CAATTAGCTTAATTGCAAAAATAACATATTGGTAAAGTGCTTCAAAATCATACGGTAAACTAATAACTTATATGAAACAAGCGAATAAAATGCAACAAATGAAATAAATAAAGAAGGTAATGGAATTTGCATATCAATGTTACAAAACAAAAGTAACGGTTACTATGTTGCGAGAACATTCTGGTTATACAAACGCTTAAACGAGGCGACGGAAGCAGCTGTTTTCAATGTAGATGGGAGAGCGTTCCAAAAAGCTGCACCAGTACTGGACAAGGATTTCTTTTTGTATTGTAGATGAGCCTTAGGCAGTTGTAGTCCCCCCTGTGCTCTTAAGCGTGTATTGTATGAGTGAACTTCCCTGAGCTGTGTGAAGAGATCCGAGATGTGAGGAGGGGACAAGCCATTCAGAGCCTTGAATACAAGCACTGCTTTGTTCCTCTTGTGTAATTCAATCACAGGTGTCCAACCTAGATTGTGCAGTATAGTGTCGATAGGTGTGTAGCGATTGCACCCCAGGATCACCCTTCCCGCCCTGTTCTGTAGTTTCTGAAGTTTGTCTATACATTCCTTGCTACCTTGATCCCAGACAGTACTGCAGTATTGTAAGTGGGGGAGGAACAGTGATGTGTATATTGTTAGCAAGGCTTGCTTATGATCACACAAAAGTATGATACAAATGACATCACACCATTTTGAAGGAAAATAACATTTATTCCAGTACATCAACACAGATTTCAATATATTTCTATATAGATTATGCAGCATTAGACGTACAGCATTGATTGTAGATAGATACTTGACAGGGGCATGCCTCACAGCTCTAGGACTTTATTTAGTCTATAAGTGCAGTCAACAATACAATTTCACCAGAACTATAGTGATAACACAATTATGAACAAACTAACGATTATTTTGACGGCTTCAATCACTGGAAAAACACAAGACAAAGTAGGGACACTCACTGAGTACTGTATTCACTCACGTCCAGAAATTCATAGATGAAAAGGATTGAACATAATATGGTGTGTTGTAGTGATATGTAACTTTTGAGAACCGATCAATTACATGTACAGTTGGTGAAGTCACTTTTCTGAACATCCACGCAATCAGTCACTAGGTTTAGACACACCCTCAGATTGTCCACAGAATTTTGAGTCTCCATCCTGTTATAAAATATTCACCGACCCTCTGAAAGTGTAAACATCTCCCTCAGATGGCCTGGTCAGTTAGGCTGGGTACTGTCTTCTCTAGCTGCCACGGGCTCTGCCTTGTTGTAGCATGCAGCAAGGGAGAGCCAGCAGTAACTACAGAGGATTGTATCCAGGCTACTGACCAGTTTCCCACCCATGTACTTTTGTTGAATTTGAGAGTATCCTCAATGGTGGCTGAATGTACTCATGGCTTATAAGAAATGTCCTGCTACAGAGCAGCTATGAGGTAGCCATGTTTTGGAATGAGTATTGCCAACTACTTACTATTGCCTAGCCTGAGATTGATCTATTTTGTCCAGTTGGTTAGGAAGAAGCAACCAAAAAGTAGCCTGTCTACTGAGTCTAAACAAGGATGCTGTTAGGATGGCTACCAAATCTTTTGTAGTGTGGTCTGAGCAGGTTCCTTCTAGCCATGTTACATGAGAGATGGAGATTAACTAGCTGTCGTCTAGGAGTAACTTTCACACAAAACACAGCATGCAAGATGTTCACACTAGTGCTGTGGTACAAAGTATTGGTATGGTACCCTGAAAACATTGTGTGGTTCTCTGCATGAGTTACCTAAACAGTTAACATCCTGTTAGCTGTTCATTCATGTTTCTGTCATCACCAAAGGACACAGCTTGCTTTGTCAAATTGTTCAGGTACAAACACGGATGTGTCCTTAAACCTCTGTACCTGTACCTGCACAGTGCTTAAACAGATGCCAGGTTGTGGAAGCCATTTACTAAATACAATTTAACACAACAAACTTTGTATTTCATAATGCAAATTCCACAAGGAAAGGATAATATTTGATATTTCATGTAAAAATGATAACAGGTTTTCCATTCTACTCATTCTGGTTAGCAATGAAATTTGCCTTGAAGTTCCTGAATGGATATTCATGTTGTACTACCAAAAAATGTCCAGCACATGTATTCTCCATAATTCTCTTGGGTATATGAGTATACTGAAAGGATGTGAAAACACTGACATAATGTAATGTATGCCCACAAATACTCTGAAGGAGACAGACTTCTGGTTATTCTTCACTTCTTCACAGAGGAGAGGCACAAACGTTTGAACCTTTCTCCAGTATGGAGGACGAGTTATCCTCAGTGGATGTAGAGAAAGTTGATCCCAAAAGACTTCCTATTTATCCTCACTACACACAGCCCTCCGGCTCACACTCAGCATTGATTTTATAAGTACTATATATTATATGATCATATTACACAGAACTATAATATTTACCACTATACAGACAATTAATCACAATCAATAAAACTATGACTTTTGAAATACCCGGTAGCTGTTTTTGGACATCCCATCTTTAAAACAATGTGAAGACCAAAGTAACCGGCAACCCCTTTCCTGTCTAACCAACATACCGGTAACCCACATACAGGAAGGCACTCGCCACATATCAACTCCTTTTCCTTACTTACTTTACAGGTACCTCTCTGCAGGCCTCGAAATTAACTTTTCTTCCTATTGTCCCTGGGTACTGTCCCAAAAATAAATGTCAATTTGAGGATGAACTGTCCCAAACTATTTTTTGGGAAGTATTGTTTTGCTTAATTATGTTCACTCCCAGGCGCACTATAATTGCAAAGTAGACAGGAAATTTGGGGGGACTTTTCCAGATCCAAAAGCCAAGACGTGTGCCTGTCTGCCTGATAAGCAAAAGAAGGGCTGACATCCTGATGTTGATTATTTTTCTATTGTTCCCCAAATGTCCTAAAGAGTCTTTTTAGTCATCCCAGCCTAAATTTTACTGGTCAGTGGCCACCTTTAATTTCGAGCCCTGCAGTGTCAAAAGTCAGGCTATATTACCTTAGTCTCTGAATTGCCCATGATTCAAAGTGGAAATTTCAGTCAAGTTATCAGAGTATCAAAGTCATTAGGCCACACCAATTTAATTTGTTGGTTCTCGGATTCGCCTCTTCATTTTTTCTGATTTGCAAAAAAAAAAAAAAAAAGAATCAACTCAAAAATGCTCATATTTTGCCCCCAACAGTTGAGGAAATTCCTTTTCTTCCTAGTTGTTACAGTTTTTTCCATCTATCAATGCAGTGCTTTGATTAAAAGTTCAAAATTTATACTTCAAATTTTAACCCAGCCCTTTTTGTTGACTTCATGGCTCATATTGTAGCATTTGGGGCTATGATAGGATGCCTAGACCTGTTTTTATTTTTATTTTTTTTCGCCCTGTCGCTTCATATTTTTTCTGAAAAAATCCGAGAACCAACAAATTAAATTGGTGTGGCCTTAGTATACCTAGTCCAGCCTGACCTAGTCCACAGGATTCCCTCAGTAAATCAAATTATATGCTCACTCAGAGTAAGGAGTTTAAAAAACTTAGAGACAGATGGTGGTAGAAGATATGTTTTTGCTTGTTGTTGCAGACACTGAGACTTGAGTTCTCTTTTACCTACTTGTTATTTGGGTATACGTTATTTATCTGATTTCATCTACACACTGATTGTCACACTGTCAAGACGCTTAGGCTTAGCATTGAACACTTTGGTGAAAGTTATTTTTCAAGTAATTGATTTAAAATTTCTTTTTTTTAAATCCATATTTGACTATGTATACATATTACATCACTCTAGTTATAATTTGAAATGTTGAAATAGAAATGCACTTTGTATCTGAAATAGTGCATCACTGAAATTCAAATGTCCATTGATTATGAAGGATGGCTAAAAATATAAGATCTGAAGGTGACCCATTTTTCCAGGTCAATCTTGTTTCCTTCACTATGGCAGCAACACATTCTAAGATTTCATTGCCACTGTTGCCCCTTTCAATCCATCTTTCACTCATTCAAAGTTTATTCAATCCTGGCAATAATTTAAATGTAATTGATAGATGACAATATCAAGCAAATGGATTATGGAATGATACAACACACATCAAGACAATATACAGCAATATATAAGCAAATTAACATAAGACCCCAATTTTGACAATAAAATTAATGCAACTTTTTTCCTTTTCCTTACTGATAAAATTTTAAGTTATTAAGGTAAATAAGACTGATATGGATGAATACTTTTTCAGGTTGGTAAATCAATGGATATTTGAGTTTTTTTTTTTTTTATATCCAAGACTGATTGTACACAGGACGGTAGAAAAAAGCTGACTTTCTACTGATGGAGCATTTGCTCCCTACATGACAGGGCATGTTGTGTCTACTGAGTCGGTACAAATATCGTTGAAGAGATTCATTTGTCACGTATAGATACAGTTCCTAGTGAATTCTTTCATCAGTGACAACTTTGGAAGGATAAGGATACTAACCTCCAAATTTTCGATGGCTATCAGTCCATCTTGTTCACGGAGTGGCCTAATCTCGGTCTGCTTGAGAGGTCACTGGGGGAAAGGACTTCTGAACACCAAAAGTCATTACATCAGAAAGACTGCAAATCTGCGTTAAGTCAACACCAACTCCAGGCTGGTCACAACATCACTACCAGTCCCATCTCTGACATTATTGAAATCATAGACCAAGAGTCTCGTAACCCACATAGGAAGATTAAGGAAGCGGTGCACATACAGTTGGAAGGTGCCAAGCTAAACCGGACAGAAGGTTGGGAGCTCCCCAAGACTTACTTACCCTTACTTCGGAGGGAGGCGGCGGGGGGTGGGACCCGACAGACCGATGCAAGTCTCGGGCCTAGTCTCGCGCTCTCGCGAGATTAGGCCACTCCATGAACAAGATGGACTGATAGCCATCGAAAATTTGGAGGTTAGTATCCTTATCCTTCCAAAGTTGTCACTGATGAAAGAATTCACTAGGAACTGAGTCGGTACAATGTTCAAGAACACTATTAAGTTTACATGTGTGTGTTAGTCTGCAGCAGGGACTTCTTGCTTCGCTTTTGGTGCTACCAATATTATGTTGAAATGTGTATTCTATTTTTTAGGCAGCACAAAAGCCCTTCCACAAGACATCCATTTCTCACCCAATTATTGTAATTGTATGGTAGTACAAGGTGTTATCTACAGTTCAGGCGACACCTACATTGTACATGCTATTACAGGTGCAGGTGGCCAACACAAGCCACCTACAGATATTACAGATTAGTGTGTTACAGATATCACAGATTAGGTGTGTGTCATGTGATACTACTGATGCCTATAGAGCCAAGCTGTAAGAGACACCTACAGTAAAACTGTTACATTGTACGAGTAGCATTTGGAAGGTGCAGGCAGCGTGCAATACTTCTGAATCATTACTTCCTGCCCCCATGATACGGATCCCTCCTCAGGATGTGTACTACATAAAATGACACCTTACAGTCGGAGCGGTGAACACAGCCTTGCTTGCCGATAACAAGATGAGGACGTTTCTCAGGACAGCATCTCTGTGACCAGCTCGTCCACCTTGAGGACTCCGTCCAGCGCCATGGACAGGTAGGACTCCAGGGCCTTGGAGCTGAAGGTGCGCAGTGCCGGCAGCCTCAGCAGGATCTTTGCATGTCTGCCAGGCAAAATCACAAGGACAAGAAGCAGTGTTTTAGTTTCAAAAACAATCTGGAAATTGTATGCCTAAAAATCAACATCTAAATTGGTATTTTTTTTGGTTTATTTTTCACAAAGAAATTTCAAAATCTTGATCCTCTAAAACACTATTTTCTGTATTTTGAGGGACTAACGTTTTTGAGAGAGTGGGCGAGTTTAGCAGCACGACTGGTGACTCGAGAAGAAGTGGCACAAGTTTAGTTTTAGTTGAGTGACAACTCTTTATGAGTGACAACTCTTCTATATCTTTCCACACCAATTTTTGTCCGTCAAAGATGACAGACTGGGCAAAAATTTTTGTCTAGCATGAGTGGCAAAATTCCGTCAAATGACAATGGACGGACACTGGCTAGGACACCGACAACTTTTGTTAATCAGCCTTAACATTGATGCATGATTTTTTTGTGTTCTGGAATCAGAGGTCAGGTTGCTGCCTGCTGGCCAAAAGCCGCAGACAGGGTACAAATGAAGAAAACGAGTGAAATAATGGAGCGTACCTTCTGGAATCATTAAACCTGGAGACGGTGTAATGGCGTAGGCTCTTCAGCACGTCACCTTGTAGACTCGTCACCTTAGGCTTGTCCTTCAGACCAGAGGCATCTGGAAGGGATATGAAGGAGCCATGAGAAGACTGCTTTGTTTCCTATACATTTCAATGACTGTCCTCTTTAATAAAAAATCCCATACCCTAGTGTGCTTCAAAACTTGATTGCATTTCACAAAGTGTATTGTCAAAGTGGTGGCCACTAATCGCCTAAGGCAAACTGCTTGAAATCCGTTATTCTGAATATCTGCACTTGTGCAGGTAACATTGAAAATCACTTGCACCAGACAAATTTTAAGAAAAGTGGATCATATCAAAATGGTTCAGAAGCCATTGCCATTAATTTTATACTTAATATGTGGTAATGAAGCAAGTGAAAATTCACAAACACCAACACCTACATGTACATATAAACCCAGTCCAGGTTAGGTGCAGGTAGACACACCTGCACAGCTCCTCTTACACCTGCCCTAACCTGCATGTGCTCTATGCTGAAAGGCTCACCTGGATAGAATAGAACCAAGGCATTGAGCAGACAGAACTCCACGTGGTCCACCTTCATCTCCTGCAGTCTCTCCACGTACTGTTCCCACAGTGTGATCATGTCCCTGTTCCACCCCAGACCCGCCGTCTCCTCAATCGTCAGCACCAGGCCGTGCCCGAAGTAGACTTTTGGTAGCCAAGGCAGACACCTAATGTGACAAAATATCACCTCTTAGCACCAACGTGTAGCGCATATACATCACAGGTCTAACCATCTAACAGTGTTTTGTTTTAAAAACAACTAAGGTACAAAGGAACCTGTGCCAAAGTAGACTTTTGGTAACCAAGACAGACACCTAATGGGACAAAATGCATTACCTCTTAGCACCAACATGAAGTTGTAATCACCTAACGTTGTTGTTTTTTAAACAACTAAAATACAGACTTAACAGTTGCGTGTACAGTCGGTCAAACCTGTACAAGTCACCACCTGTACATAAGGAGCAACTGGCCAATGTGGGCAGTTTTTCCATTGACACAATGCTGCCTGCATTGGCAGCCACCCAGCTGAGTATGGCAAGTCTACTGTCACTCGTATCAGTCAGTCAGTCCTTTTGTCAGTAATAACCACCTGTTTATGCAGACCAGATTTTCTCGATCCCCCAAGTGGTCTTCCTGGGCAGTTTGACTGCACATACTTTTGCCATACTTGGCTTCCAATTGTGGTCTCTTACCTGTAAGAAAGTCGGAGGCAGTTCAGATCCATGAAAGAGCTCTTTAGAAGGGCCATTCTGTCCTCCATCTGCAGTTCGTTGAACCCGGGTACTTTTCGCGCCCACTCGATGATCATCCGCAACTCATCATACCCGAGCTGCATCATCACATTGACCTGGCCAGGCTCCGGGGCCACTGTGCTATCAAACTTAGTTCCTGAGGGGGAAAAACAGATAAGAAACATTTTAGCACCCAGGAAGAGGAAGCTCAGGACTGAGTATGTTGTTGTTGTTACAGACACGCTGTACAATTAGGTACAGCGTGTCTGGGTAACACAGTGGCTTATCGGTCCAATGTGGGCTTTGAAGGCTTTGCCACAGCTCTAGACATACACTTTCTCACAGGACTGAGCCTATCTAATTCCTATGGGATATGATGTACATGTACAGTCCATGCTGACATATTTTATCTGCGCTATGCCACTTCAATTTTACATGCACTAACTTGCGTATGCAGGTGATCTGTCCAGCCCTGCTATGTCTATACAATAAAAACTATATTATCCAATTGGGAAAAGCAATAATAATAAGCAAACCAACCATCAGGCAAGCGTGGGATCAGGTCAGGTTTGGAGTTGACTAAAGTTTTCCCCAGGTCATCACAGTAGAATATATCACTCTCAGGCTCCCCCGGCGAGCTACAGTCGATGGGGCTGCCTGTGCTGCCTGTTGAGTTGCAGGTGCTCTCCAGATCACTCTGGGAGGAGTAGTGGTAGGAATGTCGCATTCTCTTCTGTCCCTGACGCCCCCCTGGTGCCCTGTCCTCCCTTACCGCTGTAAAAAAAAAGGTGAAATGCAATAGAATCAGTAAAAGATAAGTGTTTTATACCTTAATTTTAATGACAGCATTGTTAGATAAGTACTATGTGTAATGAACTCGACTTTGATTTGACTTTACTTAGATCCACAATAAGTGGTCCTCTTAAGAGTCTCATATATGTTATACATGTATGCGGTACATTGCATATATCAAATCACACAAGAGACAGATAAACCTCTATACTGATATTGCTTTGTCTCATGAAGGAGGTTGAAAATGTAGATTTTTATCATTAAACCTCCATAGTCTCATCTCCCTGAGTTAAGTCAATTGGAACTGACAAACAACTGGAACTGACTGATGCTAAGCCAAAGAAAGAGACTTTCAAGATACAAACAACTTTGGTCATGTTATCAACATTGGCATTACAGATTCCACAGGTCAACATAAATGTTGACAAAATTTACAGCCTTAACCTTAATCTGTCCCCATAATTTCCGTATCTATGCAATGGTTTATCTGTGTTGCTGCTCATGTAAGGAAAGATCTGCATTCAGTTTTGAAGGCTTGATTGCCCCCAGCATAACAGATATTGCAACAGAATTTCAAATTAAATGTCTGACACCACTAAGACCACAGCTTATCAGACATGTAATGGCATGAAAAATTACGACAACCCAATTCTTTGTAGTTACAACATTACACAGCTGTCGCTGAGACGGCAATCAACCAATGGAAGCAAAGATAAACATCATTTACTGCCTGCTGTGATGACAGTATCTGTACAGCAGGCATAACCGCCCTTTGGTGCTACACGTCACACCATGCCACATGCGCTCAAACACCATGATGATGCCTAAGGGGAAATTGTTATGGAACACCTTTACCGGCTTTAGTATTAAATTCTTTAAAGACACAGGAATGGAATAGACCTGTAGGAACATTATAGACGTATAGGAATGTGTAACATTTGGATCTTGAGAATACTTTCATCACCAGAGGCACCAGAACTGAAAAGGAATTTCACTAAGGAGACTTGTAGGACAAACGTTGGGATAATTAGATGCACATGATTTATAGTATGACTTCATAATTTGTTTACAGCTGCTACCTATTATGTTGCCAATACTTTCTTACATCCGTCTGATAACAGTCGACCCTCTTTTGTATTCATAACACATTGCAAAATCAATAGGCCTAGTTGTTCATTGACAGAAAACAAAACTTGCCATACTCGAAAGACACAGTGACCGTCTAACAAGGACGTTCTTGGTCCACCACAACACATTAGGCTGACCAAGGTTCACATACAACTTAAACAACTGATGGAATATCTAGGTCAAAGTATTTGGGAATTCAAACACATGGTACCCACTTCTGATAAAACTCCAGAATGTATGACCATGACATTATCGATGTGCATTGCAAATCATTCTGTTGAGTCATTGCTGACTTTGAGAAAAATCGTTGTTGTTGTTCATCATCATTATTACAGTGTCATGTTTTGGCCTAGTCAGCATTACACAAAACTGCTGACGAATGGTTTACTAATCTGCTTTTCTAAAAAAAGTGGTGCAGGTAGAATCTGTCTGGTGCAGGTAATTTTGCATGTATGTGTAGGGGGTAGGACTTGTGTCACATCTGGTGTCAATTAATAAAGGACAGCTAGGGACCTTGTGTCTCTGCTGATCAGTCTGGCCCAAGCCGTGGTCTAGTGTGGTCATCTCTATAGCAGCATCCAGCATATATAACACTGGTGGCAGCGGACAGCGCTTTCGAGCGCTCAACCCACGCCATACCGACAATATGTACAAAATTACTTAGAGCCATAGTTTTGTAGAATGAAGAATCATTTACGACAGCATTTAGACATGGTACCTACTGAAAAGGGACAAAAGCCAGACTGAGTGTTCTTACCAATTTACCAACCTTATGACATTTTCATGGCTGTGTGCTTATACATGTATTTGTATTGTAACTATAGTAATCTAACCACAGATCTGAACCAAACAGATGAGACAGTGCAGCACAAAACCAGACAGACAGAAAGTTGGCATTTGGTACAGTCTGCACACCGCGACATTTCCCACAAAGTGTTGGCAGATTGGTGGCCGACTTCTATCTTTGGGTGACTTCCAGCTTGGGCCAGGTTGACGTCACACTCCACATCACAAATTTGGGTCCCGTGCAGCTATAGGTCAGGGTCAGGGTCATGGCCAACTGGCACGGCCATGCTATAATGAGAGTAGGGTTTGGTTATCGAATTTCACAGCAGTGTCTACAATACCCACTGGGACAACTGGTTAATGAGCCATGTCCCATTAGCCACGCTGACAAAGGGGGAACAATTGATTATCTGGTACATAAAAGTGTGATGTATCCATAATGACAAGAGTCTATTAGCATTATAGCTATAGTGAAATGAAACTTAAATGTTGTTCATACATTTCAAGGACAAAGGCTGTTGGAACACTTAAAATATATGTTATCATCTGCACTTGTCACATCCCTCCATGAACAGAAAAAGGTCTTAAACAGAAACAGGAAAAATCAATTAAGATTAATGTTCATCGTTTTGTGTCCCACATATCTCTTCCCATTGTTGGTAAATGGGTCTGGTCAGGTAGTTTAGGAATTAACCCCATTATAAGATTGCAGGACATTTGGCAAAAAACAACAGAGGCTTTACATTGACGTCATGTTAATTGTAATTTGAATACCCAGCAACCATGTTGGCTGGGTAAGTGGATTATAGCAGCAGCATGTTGATATATTTAACAGACATACACTGTAATCCAGAGTGTAATCCAACATGGCGCAAGTGACGTCACATGAAAAGCCTTCCATGTACCCAGTGAACTGCTACTTAATCCCATAAACTAAATACACATCTAGACAAAAGGGAAGCTACAGGGCAACGGGGTGTCTGAAATCTAAGCTTGTTAAAATATTTTCTGCCATCGATATAATTGTGCTTGATACAAGCCTCTGTGCTGAATTGGTGTCAGATGTGTTCCATTATAAGAGCAAGAGGAGGACACTGTTATGTAAGTATTGCCTAAGGTCCAGATCCCAAGGAATGGCAGGCATCTTTCTTGACCAGCTGCCAACACTTTTCTGGGACACTGGGCGTGCAGACTGGCAGAATGGCAACTGTTTAGCATTAAGTGATATAGAACAGATTAAATGAAACGAGACGCTACTCAGTCTACTCAATATTGACCGACAGGACGAAATACTTCTTTCTGCATACTTGTGCTCCTGGCTCCTGACTGCTTTAGCCTCTGGGTCTATTACACTGAGTTTGTCTTTTTTTACCTTAGGAAAGTACTGTTTTCGGACATGTTAGTGTGTTCGCAGCTGTAACTCATGGCGGGATCAACAGATTTCTTTTATTTTTGACATATGATTTGTTATCATGGTTCTGATGATGTGGATTGTTTTTTGCATCACATCTGTATTTTCCGGTACTGAAATAAAATAATTGGACAACCCCGTGCAGCATGCAGTGTCACGCACCATCTCCAAACACCAATATTTAGTAAGAGCAATAGTTCACTCACTATTTATGAAAGTACTGTGAAAATGAAAGCATAAAAGTCAACTACATGTACACAATTCTACAGTGAGAAGAGGCAGCTGCATTTAGTGAATCATTACTCAATGTCAAGATTGAAAGACATTTGATCTCAGACGGGTGCTGGGGGTTATTGGATACCAAAATGCTTCTGAATAAGGTTTGTGCTGGAATGAAGTTGCTTGGCAACCAGGTTTAAAATAGTACTTATAAACTTGAAGTTCATTTGCAACAAATGCTCTACGTCAAGGAGCTCCCTGCACGCTAGATTCATCAAAGAGTTCATTGCACGCTCTTCATCAAGGGCCTCACTGCAAGTCAGTGTAAAGTTGTTGATGCATCCAAAAACAACATCAAAGAGTAGAGGCACTTTTTGATAAGTACTTTGATGTTTGCAAAAAGAAGATTTCATTTTAACCTCAAAGTTAGCACCGGAACTGGACCTTTTAAAATTTGTCAATTGAGCTACAGGGGGAGATACACACATACGCATGCACTCTGCTGAAAAGCATTGAGAAATAATCGTCATCATATTCCGATTTTCCTTTTAATTTTCATTTCTAGTCAAACCTGCAGGTCTCAGCAACCACTCTAGGGACTGAGGAAACATATAGTTGGTTTAGCGATTATGTACGCATCATTAACTGATTCTGTCCTTGTGTCAAATGATATCAAACAACTGATATCAGACATACGTTTTGCTTAAACAAACACTAGTAGTTGTTTTTTAAAACATCAAAGCATATGGAGGTAAAAAAATCACATTTTTACCTCCATGATCAAAGCAACCTACTTGCAGGGAAGCAACAGCAGCAAACCGGAATCCTACCATGATTATTTCCGTCCCCCAAACAGGGCTGCCTCTCAATAATCATCATGATCAGGGACTAACAAGTGTTGCATTGACAGCCCATGTAATCTCCAGTGATAATTGGTCAAATCAGTGCACAGGAGCCCTGCTTTTGAAAATTGGAAAAGCCAATCTGTATTGCAATAGCCAACTGGCACAATATAATGCGTATGTCACAGTGTGTGGTAGATGGAAAATATTCATTCGCAGGTCGACCGCTGTCTTCATGCTTCTTAATTTAGCCAATACAGAGAAAGATGCATCCAATTCTATAGTGATTTTGTGCTTTGGATAATAGACAGATGGCCTTTCCTGAATTAAGCAATGATATCTCATTCTGCATGAAATATCAAATGAAATGGTAACACTCCAAATGGGAACAATTTTTACTATAATTGTAAACGTAAGAAATATTCTGTACAAAAAGAAATTGCAGAATCAAGCCAAACACCTGGGAAGACTAATTGTCTGCTCTGAGATATGCAAACTGTTTGTCCAAGGAACTGGAGCGACATGTCACCATTACGACACCAAGAACATTATAATTCTTGATAGAACTGGACTTGAAGATAAGTGATGCATTGAAATACGCTACAGTGCTTTAATTTTCAGATAACTCGGCACAGTGGTGCCGCTTTTCCAGTGGATAGGAACATTCCTGTTTTTGAAATAAATAAACATCATCATGTGACTGTGCACAGACCACCCGGGGGCAAAGATGTGAACATCACATGATTATTCATTGGACTCTTCTGCTGAAAAAGGACAGGTGAAGCAATCATCTTCTATTGACGTTAAGCATGATTTCTTTTTAGGAAGGTAAAAGCAATATGGCTCAGCCACAGTTAATGTTTACAGCTAAATATCATGATTACAATACCAGGAAATCAAAACTAACAAAGTGACATCAAAATACATTAATCATCACTACAATATACACTTAAGAAATACACATTAGCAAATCACTGGCAAAATCACTACCATAATGCAAATCCAGAAGCCACCTGTTTTTTTCATATTAGATTATAACATGCTTTTCCTCTGGAGGTAATGCCAATATGTACAGGGACATAAAAAGCTTTGTGTTAGATGATTGTTCCCTGTAGTACTATCTGGAAGACCATTACTCAACATCCACATAAACACTATCCTTTCCAACAGGAACATTCCATATTGTACCTTTGGAAGGAACATTCTCTCTCCGAGGAAATTTGTAAAGAAAAAAAAAATGTACTGGAAAAAAGACTGTTTCCTGAGACACAAGTACAGGCCACTGGGAAAATGCCGCACTGCAGCACACAGTAACGATAAATCACATCTCCTCATCATCTGCTTCCATTTATAATATCACTACTGCCAGGACCTATTTCGGTGATTGCCTATGATAATAAGCCCATTTTGATTGGGAGCTAACCGGAAGGATGTGGGGAGCGTTCCTCTCTTCATTTTCAATCTCAAACCCCACCCATTTTTCTAATCTGTACCATTTGATATTCCCGATTGGTTCTTCATAGGCCACATTAAATATGGCAGGCACTCAATAATTTGCAACAAATATGGCAGGCACCCAATTCGCAATTATTCATGTAACCAAGGAGCTTATATAACCTCCTTGATGTAATGTTACAACGCTATAACATAGCCTATATCGATTCAACTAATTCATGATGAATCTGTCTTCCGTTACAGACCCATAATTTCTTTCCAGCCCACCCCCATAAGAGGTGCAGTAGTGAGCCAGCCTTGCGCTTGGCCGTGAACTCTGTCCCCGCCAAGGCCAGCCCGCGGTATAAAACGGGCTGCTGAAAAATTTGCATAAAATCCAGCCGCGCAAGATTCTAGATGTATGCAGCGCTTCTCCTGCATCCAAAGTATATTTGTCTGGGCGCCGTGCCGGGTCCGTACGCGCCCAAAGATAACCAGCGTGAAAACAAACACGGCCCCACACCCACACGCCCGTGCAACAGGTGGGACTCAACAACGATTACACGGGATCGCTTGCATAATTATGAGGCCAACACGTCTTGCGGGCCGGGGAAGCGGCTCGCTCTCCGGACCGGCTTGCGCTTGGGCCCGGCTGCCTCAGCTTAACAACAACGGAATTCAATCTCACAACCACACGTTCAGAGCACGATCTACAGCAAAGTCGTTACACCCACCTTCCTTCTTCATCCCGTTGTCCATACATTTCTGAAATCGACAGGCCTGGCAGTTGTTTCGCGTGAATTTGTTGATTTCGCAGTGCCCCTCCCCCTTACACTTGTACGACAGGTTCTTCTGTACAGACCGTTTGAAGAAACCCTTGCAGCCCTCGCACGAGTACACCGAGTAATGGTAGCCAGAGGCCCTGTCGTTGCATATCAGGCAGAAAGGCGGCGGCGGCCCGTCCGTGAAGGGCGGGTTGAGGCCGAGGAGCTCGCTGTTCGCGGCCAGTTCCGTGGCGGTGCCCGCCTGCGCGTCATCTTGTCTCGCCATATTGTTTACCTTGCCCAGCTCCCGTCGGCCCCCGCGCCACGTCCTCAGCAGTGACCTCAGGTAACCTGGGATGAACTCGACTTGGCTGATTTAAGGGCTGTACCCGAATCTGGGTCATTGCTATCACCGCTGAACTACTACTGTAGTACTTTCTCATCGCTGGGGTTTAGAAGATAACGGTTAGTCCGGAATCAAAGGCACTAATATCAAAAGAATGTTAACGTTACCAAGAAACCTCCTTGGAGACATTTAAACTTTTTTGTACTTGAAAAGCGCGCAAGACTTAAAGTCGCTTTTGGCGTTTAAAGTCGTTTAATATCCGCATCGGGTACGTACTGGGGACCCCATTGCACCCCCCGGAATCCCTGCTATGGTGTTTGAATGCCCCATGTCTACTCTGGTCAGTCACGAGTCACGACCGATGCTGAGGGCTGTAGCCTCTACCAGGCTTCGGGAGGCGGCTGAAAAGAGTAGAAATCGGCGGGCCGAATAGAGAGATAGCATGCCAAGGGAGTTTGGTCCTGGAGAGAACAGTTTGCCGCTCCCAAGCAAACTGTTCTCTCCCAGGACCAAACTCCCTTGGCATGCTATCTCTCTATTTGGCCGATTTCTACTCTTTTCAGTCGCCTCCCGAAGCCTGGTAGAGGCTAGCGGGCTGATCCAACTCCAGTTTGGCTCGTAGGACCAGGCAGCCCCATTCTTGGCTCAAAATAGAATGTTTCACTTTCAAGTAACGTGAATAAAGACCTATTAGTATCATACTACATCCATGATCATGATGTAGGGATGCGTGTATTTGGTATATCTTGGAATAATTATATCCAAGGTACTAGTAATTTCATTTCATTCATCAACATGTAACAGTTACACGACACATGGTTGACCGACGTCCGTGAATGGTTTCATGCTTATAAACTAATAAAGGTATTTCTAGTAAGTATTTTAAGTTTTAGCTGCTTTGTCAGGCAACATCTATGTTTTCGCAAGGAGGTTTAATCTCCTTGGTTTTTGAACATGCATATACACTAGTAGTTCTTATCAAGTCCCCTTAAATTTTAACTACCACTGGGGCAGACCAGCATACCGGATCACCATCCAGTGTCACCTCACACTACCTCGCTGCTTTATCGTTCCCTCGTGACCTAAGGGTCATCTAGGGTCGACTTCATGTCATTCTCTACTCTATATATAGTAGTTGCTTGTTCCATTTATTAGAAAAGGCTGAGGTTCTACCACTATGCCTAATAAGGCCATGTTGATTATATGGATGCATGAATTTTCGGCCGTTTAAAAAAAAAGTCGAAATGATGTAAAACTGTTTCAAAATGATCAAATATATACCATAAGTTGCAAAAAGAAATATTGGAAAACGATACCAATGTCGTAGAATGCCAAAATTTAAACGGAAAAGACGAAGAGTAGATTATTCGTCCAGTGTCACCTCACACTACCTCACTACTTTATCGTACCCTCGTGACCTAAGGGTCATCTAAGGTCGATTTCATGTCATTCTCTACTCTAAATATAGTAGTTGCTTGTTCCATTTTATTAGAAAAGGCTGTGGTTCTACCACTATGCCTAATACATGTAATAACTCCGCAACGGATAAACAGTAAACCATGGAGGTTTTCTACCTCCATCCCATGAGTAAACTAAAAGAAACATGGTAATAGACAGAGCAGACGATTAGTAGAAACTGCTGTTATTACAAATCCAGGCAAATGAAATTTCAGCGAAATCTCATCATCGCGGTATCAATCAGTAACGTTACAGCTTTCCAATCAAATTAGAAAGCAAGGCACGTGCTGTCTTTTTGTCTAACAGACTGTTAATTGCTGAAGAACTTTATTATTAGTGAACCGAGATCAATTCCAACCCCATTAAGCTTTTATGTGACATTTAAAGTATTCATCTGTGGTACGTTCTCGTACATCTGTCTGTAAGGAGCTCTGTCTGTGTTATCGAGTTGGTGGAGAGCTAGCTGGAATTTCGCCAACTTCGGTGATCTGTCTTTGCGTTGCCTTTCAAATTGCTAACCGTTGTCAACTAGTTGAAGGGGGTGTTTTACCTCGTCTCCACCAGACTCCTTTGCAGGCTGAATAAATAGTAGAAATTGACCTAAAAGGAATGTAACTAACCAGGGGAGTTAGCCGGCCATAGAGGGTCCAATTTTCTAGCCTGGTTACCAAACCTGTTATAGCTCCTGAGCCCTACATCCTCTCCTCTCCCGATTTGCGGAGAGGATGTAGGACTCGGCAGTGATAGGTTTGGTAACTAGGCTACCAATTTTCTTGCACGTGACTTTGTTTTACCAGCCTCCACTGTGGCCAGCGTCGGTCCTATACCTACTATACAGGTACATTGTACTTAGAGTAAGAGACATTATGTTTTTTTCCTGACAGCTCATCTTTCCAGCCGACCTTTCTGATAGTCCCGCACCGTTCTACACGGGTCCGCTGGCTTAGGGGTGTTACTCCCCAGTCCCACTATAGAGCAAATGTCTTTTTCTCACACACACACGCGGCCTATCTTTTCAGTCGGCCTTTCTGATTATTGCCGACCTGTTGAGCCAATACCACCTAAAATTCCCCGGCGTGCACTAATTGACCGGGGCGGTGCCAACAACGTAGAGATGCCTGGAAGCTCCCGATGGGACGGTTACTTGGCTACGTCCTAGTGCCTGTTTTATATTACATGTTTGGGACCCCGTAATGATCCATTAAGTCAAGGCTTATAGAACAGTATAAAAGCTGAATGCAGTAGAAAAAACCTTCTTCTGGACATTCATATTCCAATAAATCATCACATTATCTAAACAGCATCCAGTTTAATTCTGCACTTCCAGTTTAATTCCGGAATGATTCCCATACCTCAGCAACCTTACATCTAGATGGGCTAATATCGTAAACTATGAGTAAAATGATGTAGGAAATGTATATGTAGCGGCCATCGAGGTCTCATTGGAGATTGACCCAATTTGCAGAATTCTTCCCAGAATTCTGGCTCCAGTTCCCAGAATTCTGCAGAATTGATTGGGTTAATACCTAAGAGGTCCTTGATGGCTGCCACGTATTCCTTACATCATTTGTACCTATAGTTTACGATATTAGCCCATCTAGATGTAAGGTTGCTGAGGTATGGGAATCAGTCCGGAATTAAACTGGAAGTCCAGAATTAAACTGGAGACTGTTGCTAGTATATTTTCCTATTCTGGTGTAATATAAAGAGATCTATTGGTTGATTATGGCATCCCTGACAGGCCCCTTTCCACGTGTCAGAAGGCGATCACTGATCGACCTAAATTGGATTTGGGTGATGTGTTCATTTCACAATTGGAATATGATTCAAGATGTAAACGTGTTATCTAAAAGACAACAAAACGTAAGAATCTGTTCTTTATCTATGAAATTCGTTGAGGGATCTGTCCGATCTTTAGTCTCCAGTGGAAAAGGTCTGTTAACAATATTGGGTACTGGTCTGAGCTAAGTCCAGCGGTCGTTTGGGACAGGGAATACTGCTAGCCTGGATGCCAGACTCAAAGCACACTCGGCCAGTGTGCAAGTTTTCCAGTGTGCAGATAATTTTGGGCCCAGAGTGCTAGAATCTATGGGTCTGGAATCCAGGATACTAGCCTAGCACCTGATGACCAAACCTATTTTTAGCTGTCGAGCGTCTTTCGTCCTCTCCGCAAGGCTAAATATAGGATTGGTCAACAGGATACCTTTATTTACCCCCAACAGTTTCACACTGTTACAACCCCGAAAAAATCAGTCACAGTCTGAATGAAATATTCAACTCACCTCTTTTTATATTTTACCAACGGTGTTCTGTTAGGTAGAAAGGCTGCCAGGTCGTCATGTATCTTGTAGACTGACTCCATCTTTTTCTTCGTCATCAATGGTGTAAAGTGGAAAGTTTATTTGTGGAAACGGATTCATTGTTTAAAACAAGGTGCGGGCAGTGACTCGATAGGATTGAAGAGCACTACAACTACAGTTGTATATTCAGGATGCTTGTCCAGATGAACTGTTTTGAAAACAACGCCATCCCTCATTGCACATGAATTAATTGTTTCCTCTGGTGAAAATTTATCGACAGAGCGTTCGGTACGAGTAGAAATGGCTCCAATTCCTCAGTTGTCTGAGTTGATAGATAGGCCACACCGATTTAATTTTATGGATGACATCCTCTGAAGACCCCCAAACTAGTGCGCGCGGGCGAAAAAAAGAAAAATCCAGCCAAAAATAAAAATGCTACTAAACCACAGGAATACAAAGCTGGTATTTTGAATTTGGCGCATTACATAGCGACGTATACGAAAGGCCGACACATGCTGGATTTTTGCGGAATTTATGAATCGGCACTGCACGTATGTACTGAGTTCTTGAGTCTTGGGGCTTCGGTAGCCTGGCTGCCGTCCACCAGAGTTATCACCACAATGGACTACCCAGGCCTAAAGCCAGTCCAGAGCCTCGGAAGACGTGATCATCTTTTTTTTTTTTTGAGATCGGGCGAAAATCAATGCGCGCGCGGATGTCATCCATAAAATTAAATCGGTGTGGCCATACGTAAGATCAATAGCGACTTGGATCTTATTCTAAAACGATCACTCATCAGCCAAGCACCCGATACTATTTGTTTTTATCTGTTCCTAATACATTAGATGGGATATTTCTTTCGCCCGATCGCGAGTGCCATCTTCCGTAGTCTCCGCTGACCCCATTTGTATTATTTGTACTCGATTCATTGGGAATGAAATAAATCATTATAAGGGTCAACACAGGCAGAACTAGTATAGTAATGGCTGACCCAGAAAAAGTACCGACGTAATGAGATCTTCTTGTAAGATCTTAAGATCTGCTTGTCATTAGGGAGCTGGCGGAAACTACGGAGGATGGCACACAGGATGATATTCCTTTTTATCTATTCCTATAACCTCAGATAGGAAGTGGAGTCCGTGCATCATGTGGCGGGAGGAAAGGAATATCTTGATTCTGAAAACACCTGCAGTGGTATGACGTTTCTGGAGTGTCGCAATGTAATCTCTAGATCTACCCCGGATGTGCAATACTGTAGCACAGAGCCATCCTCCCGAGGCAGGGTCGGCGGCGCGGTACTCTATACCTTACAACCAATAGAATATTGCGCCGCCGACCCTGCCGCGGGAGGATGGAACAGAGCTGAAGCCATTACTCTACTTAACGAAAGATTCTGAATGTGGTTGTTTTCTTTTCTCAAACGTAACGTGTCGATCTCGTGCAGTCCATCACTCGATATTCGTCACATGAGCTTCTTGAAGAACCAATCGTGTCTGTGTATCGGTCTCCTCTACGGGACGGATTACTCGATCAATGCGTCTTACTGGTGTCATCATTAGAATGTGTAAGATTTTACTCTGAAAGCAGATCTTTGGATTGAAATCGTGAGCCTTCTGCTGCCCCGTTTCTCCCCTTTCAGAATTGATGCAAAGTCAGGCATGTCAGGAATATATGGCTACCAGAAAACCGCGATTTTGCTTCCGAAGATCTGTTTTGAGATTGCTCAGGGTGTGGGCACGGGTATCACACACCATCACCGACTACACGATGTCTTCCACTTTTGGTTGGGATGGTGCGGTAAATCTCCAAGCAGATCTTTTGGTAGCCAAAGCAATGTCCAATAGGCCAGATACCGTTTTGATACCGAAAGGTCTGCTTCACACTAGCGTTATGTACGACTCACTACGCTACTTACATGCCTTGTACAACACACACAAGATGACATGAACGACTCAGTCTTTCCTGCAGACATTTTATTAGCATTATTCATATTCAATTTAATGCTTCTGTATAAAATCTACAAATCGACATCACACCAACGCAAAACCTCTCACATTGCAGTTTGAAGTTTCATCTATGTAGATATGTGCAGCACGTTGGTGTCTCACCTGTTCCAGACAGCACTCACGTCTTGACGTCGTTAACGATCTCAATGCAGTCACGTATATAAAAGACAGCGTCAGCAGCAATACTGAGCGGCTTGTTGCAAGGCATGTAAGTTTTATTCGTCCTCTTTGGTGATGTTACGCTGACTTGCTTAGTTGCTAAAATATACCCATACCCCAAGGAATGGTCTTGGTACATGGTAGAATGGCCGGACCTGTGAAAATAAACACAGCAACATCCCTCACACCAGGCGTGTCTCATACATCTCTGCGTGCACTAGTCCGCTGGTCAAAACAAACTACACTGTATCACGCGATGTGTACCAGTGCCGTTCTGGACCGAAACAGACTGGAAGGAATTAGTTATAAAGACCAAGATTTTTGTTTAACAAATTTGGCCGGATCATTCTACTAAAATCACATTTCTAGACACATGTTTCACGGTTAAAATTGTTGGAACTTGGAAACCTCAAAATAAGTTTTAACATCACCTCAAGCGATGAACATGCCTCGTCAATACATCTGAACTGTTCTTCCATTACCTTGTACTCGTACTGCAGAATCCGGACTGTGTACTGATCAATCGGAAAACCTTGTGATGATTCTCGACGGGTATGTGCGTAGACGACCCAATAACCTGTCCCACTTCCCACAAGTAGTTGTACAAAAGCCAACCGCGACGTCATAAAAGCATCTGAAGGGATCACGAAAATGAAATACAATCGATCGACTTTGTGAACACCGCAGCTCCTACCGACGACTCCAACAAAATGTCAGCTCACTTGTCCTATTAGGCTTAGTAACGCTTTCATTTGAAGATTGAAAAAATAATCCCTATTTACCGAAAAATAAATATTTAGATTATACTTGCGCTTATCATTATCAGATTTCTTAGGTTTCAAAATTCAGACATCTTTGAAAATCTGATATTACAACGGACACAATCATTAAACTTGTGATCCTAAAAACTTGCTCTATTTGGGATACATTAGTTATTACAAAAGAGAGGAGAAAGGACTGGATATCTTTTAACTCAAAGGGTAAAAAGCTATACCATTTGGACCAAAAGTCGCCTTTCCTTATGAGAAGTAACGTTATCAAACGGATTATATGGCAAAATAAAAAGCAGAAAACCGCTCCCTACATGCTCACAACTTTCCAAGTACATTTGCTCAAGCCTACCACTTAGTGGTTTTCTACAGTTGGTACCAATTACTGACTTCAGCAGTCCGACATTACAGACATTATGGTTGGAATGACGTTAACAATGACGTCTATGCAAATGCCAGGTCAAAACAAGAAGCTCAGGATCAAAGCTACCGCCAGAATGGTCTCCTGAAACCTACACATTTGCCAAGTGTATGTATTGGACACTGATGTAAAATTACCCATTTCCTGAGAACATATTTGACCAAAGAAAAGGTTCTTGGCCCTTTAACTTCCATTACATAAGAGGGTTATGTTAACTGATTATAATACCTGTAGACGTGTGTAACATACATGTTAAACACGTCCATGTTACTGTTAAATCAGTCTTTTTGCATAATTCACAAATCAAAAGATCAATGTCCTTGTCAAATTATCTGTACTCTGAGATAAAATGCATTCATCAGCATTAATTTGTAAACATTTTAATGCAAAAACAACAAGACAGAACACATGCTGCATACAAATGGACATTTTCAGCTGGATTCTCACTCATGTCTCTTCATCACCTCCACATGCTGCTCCTTGTTCTTCAAATGTGGTTCCTTCACTTGATGCTTGCTGCCTCTTGCACTACCATACTCAACTGACAACACTTAGCATACACAACTTTATATATACATCAACTACCAAGTTCAATACAATTTTCTCAGTGTCAGTTGCGATCCGTGACTCGAACAAAAAAGGAATAACATTGAATAAAAGTATGCTAAAATGAAGATGAATGACAACTAGGAAATATCTTATTAGCAACTTGAAGGAAGTAAGTTGAGAGAATTTCTTTACCTTGTCAAGCAGGCTAAAACTGAATGTGCTACAAAGAATCACAAAATGTACTGTACTGTTTGACAACAAGTAATCTGACTTCCTAATTACAGCAATCACAAGGTAACAGAATCTTCACTTGCAGGCAGGATGTACAACTATCACAGATACTCACAAATTCACAACATCATCCGATGTCCCTAACAAAGATGTAAAGCATATACTGTACAAAGCGACCCGATGATCAACCGTAAGCAATGGTATATTGTAGTAAGTACAAAGCATTTGACACAGTATCTTCTGCCAGTTTTTCCAAGTTCACAATTCCAAACTAAACATCACCAAAACGTCAGCTTCATTTGTAGTCACAGGAGTCCGATAAAGAAAACTTTGCTCTGAGACGCCAGCTTTTGTGAGTCTGGTCTATCTGTCTTGACTGATTGCTGGCCCTAGTCAGCGATGTCGTCAAGTATCTCATAGTCACTCCCCATCTCCATGGATACTCCACTTCCATCACTGCCTGCATCTGAAACGACACTCGGGGTTAGATGATTGCCACAGACCATATTTCAAACATGAGGTGTACCATGCAGGCAGCTAACAGTATTCATTTTGTTGTTGATTGAAATTGTTGTTCATGTCAAAAAATATCAAGCAACCAATGGGTTACTGGCCACCAACATTTTGTAGAAGCTTAAAAAACTACAGTCAACAGTTACAAAAAAAGACAACAAAAATAACAACAACATCAAAGAAAATAACGGACAATCCCTACTGGTCAGCTGAAACTTATCTTTCAGAGGTGGGTATCTCAAAACACCCCACTCTAGACGAGGTAGGAGAGGTGACAAAGGTCAAAGATACAAACTCTTTAAGGAAAGCCAGGGATATCCCAAGTCTACATGTTCCAGTAGTTTGGTGGCTCAAGAGTTAATGTCAGATTCAATAAAAAAAAAAGAAACAAAGCACCCACATACAAATGACTTACGTATACCTGTACAATTCCAGAAACTGGCTTACTCCTACCACAGAGCTAGGGTTCACATAGTCTGGGGGTATCCCTGGCCCTGTTATACCTGACTGCCATGACAGATAGACCTTGCCCATGTTACCAGTAGATCTATCACAGAAGATGACCCACCTTAGGGCAAAAGGACAAGTGGCCAAGGGCAGTGAACCTGGCTAACTACCTGATAGGTGAAAAATGGATGGTGGATTGTCTGTACCTTTCTTCCTCTGCTTACATCTAAGCTAGTCCCTTCAGCTGGCTGGCCCTGCAGTGGATTGATGTGGGAACCGTCAGTTACTGTGACCTTCACTGTTCTTGTAGCCGAGTACATGTTTGCATAAATAGGCTTGGTTTGTTTTCCTTTTAATTTATGACTGAAAATTGACTGAGGAGCAACCCATTGGTTTAAGAGAAAGGCCTCTTAACTTGCTTGTATTGAGAGTCCAGGGTGTTCTTTGGGAGTTACATTTATCAATTACGAGCAAGCAAAACTTTCCCTCTTACATGAAATATACATAAAATAGTTGATCACTCCTCACCAACCTGGTACTTACTCCCACAAGAGTAGAAGACCAAACTACAACTGAATACATCACCACCTTAGCAAATACATGTATAGCATGTCTCTGGGGAGAGTTATTAAATGGCACCTGACGGAATACTAGTATGCAAACAAGTATAGAAAGTGAAAAAGTAAAATTATATTGACATTAATACTTACCATCATTTTTTGCCTTTTTTAGACGGGGAGGCAAGTCTTCTGTTCCCGGGACGGGTGGCTCGGGTGAACTTCTGTCCTTTGAGCCCGAGGCACCCTGGGCTCCAAACGCCTTCTTTATCTCCTCCTGACTGGGAAGCTTCTGCGGCTCTGACTTGCCCCTCTGGTTTGATACGGGGAGGACCGACCTCTCGGAATGTCTGTCCGGTTTCTCTGGCTTGGCTTTGCGGAGCGGCAGGCTGGTGGTTAGGGTGGGAATGGGCCTGGCCTGCACTGGAGGAGCCTTGGGAATCTTCCGTGTCATCATGACGGAAGGCTTACCTGTTCCACCGGGACTCGTCTTTCCGTCCTCGGGTGTTGGCGTGTTCCTCCCAGTGGGGGTGGAGGTTCCCTTCCCATTCTGGCCACCTTGCCCGCTGCCAGGCCTCCACGTAAATTTACCAAAGCCTGACGTTTGGGGTTTACCCTCGCCTTTGTCTCCTGCTAGAGTCAACTTGATGCCTTTGCCTGCACCTGATGGTGTGCTTGGCGTGGAGGGTGCATGGGGCTTTGTGGACGCATCAGCATCAAGTTCTTGTACCTTTTCTTCCTTCTTCTTTTCCTTCTCAATCAGCTTTCTCTTCTTCTCGTCGAGAACTTTTTCCTGTTGTTCCAGTCTCTTGCGTTTCTTTTCCTGCTCCTCGTGCCTGCGTTCTTGCAGCTCTGCCCTCTCCTTGTGGCGCTTCTCTTCCTCCTTGCGGCGGTTGATTTCCTCGATGACGGCCATCCCTGCGGCTTTGTCCAGGTTCCGGCGTCGCTCGTAGAATGGATTTGCATCCAAGTGTTTCTAGATGAAGAGAGAGACGATCAGAGCTGCATGGGGAACTGCATTTTTCAAAACCTTTCACCTTTTGAAATGTTTTACATGTATAGAGCTAGTTTACAGGGAAGTAATGTTTGACAAAGGTAAAATTTTCAAACAAACGCTGCTGGTCATAACTCATCCCTAAGTTTATTCTGGACAAGTTAGACAAGTTAAACATCACACGAAGAGAAAGTTTTTTAAAAGTTAAAATTCTTTTCCACACCTATTTCTATAGCCCTTGGGCCACACAGGGCCAGTACCATAGGGCCTAGTCTGCTGAACCCCCAACCTCCCAAATACAAGACAAAAACTCTACCCCTAAGGCCTCAGCACTGCTTCTTACAAAGAGAGGGTGACACAAATTCACAGGCTACATCATATGACACTGAAGTTTCCACCTTGTAGCTGAGACGGTGCTTGTCAGTTTTGATGTGGTCTTCAGCACAGATCTGGTCCCCAGAGAACTCCTCACACAGCTGGCAGTAGAAACCCATCACAGGCAACATGAACTCAGGACCTGGCGAGAACAAACCAGACATGTGTTACACACCAACAGCAGCTGGTTAAAAATCAATGAAATTTGAATTCAAGAAATGTTCATATGCCATTAGTAGGTATAATCTAAAGCCATCAACTAATCTCAAAACGATTCACAGTAAGTATTGTGAATAAAACGTTGTAATGTGCATTCTTACTCATTTTTGATTCATCACTATAAATTGAAAGACTGACACATGCTAAAATGGAAACTGCAGGATTAGTTTGAAACCTGCATCAGAGCAGCAAAGACTATATAAATATATAGTGTCCTACCTTGCACTGGCACCACTTGGAAATTCATATTAGGCCGCGCCTTCCGCTCCCGCTCAGTCCTGAGAGACTCTGGCATCCACGGGCGGTCATACGGATCAATGTGCTACAGACAACAGTAAAGTCACTCTTCTAGCCTTGAACACAAACCACATACCATGTCCACAAGAGAACACAGTAATCACAGTACATTCATTTTTTTTCATCCCTGGGAAACAAAGTGTATAAGCATTAGAGTAAATTAACAATTCAACTGCTTTCTACATGGTGCTAAAGTTGCCATTTGAATCATCTACATGTATCTGCTACATGAAACAACACACTAGACTTTATTTCTGACCTACCGGTACTGTAGTTATGACTATACCATCCCTGAACTCATCTTCTATTAAAACAAACTTTGATAAAAAGAGCCATACATTTTACCACACTAAAACTAAACAATGAATTGTTCTTGCTTTCATAACTTTGGTATTTCAAAGATAAACGTTCAATGCCTTGGAAAGTATGCTAATAGTATCGCTGATTTTTTTTAGCAATGGATGACGTTACATGCACAGACATCATAATGACAGGAAAATGTCTTCCAAACTGACAAGATACAGAGCTGATGTAGGACTAGGACCTGTAGATGCTTGCGGCTGTGGGTGTGGTTGAGAAACTCCAGCAGGTTGGTGAAGATCTGGTTGCAGGGTTTGCACCAGTGGTTCCCAGGATCAAAGAAATCATAGACCGTGTTGTCTACTGGTTCTGTCTTCACTGCTGCTGGGGGCTCTGGCTTCTTCACCGGGGATGACTGTTCCTATGGAGTGTAATGTACAATATAACTGTAGGAAACCCATGTTTACAACAAAGACAGTAAACATGGAAAAAGACATCCATATTTCAGCAGCAGGAACATACTCAGCATACTTAGCAATGATTACAAACATAGCAATAATTAAAAGACTTGAATATAAATCTATTCTGAATACACTTTTCTGACAGTTTGCTTGGTGAACCACATCCATTACATTCAAATACAGCTCAGCACAGCAAACAGCTAACACTGCTGCATACCTTGCAAATCTCTGCATCAGAGGTTACAGTACTGCATTTGTTACAGGTCACCTGATTGTACAGGTTAGCACAGTACCTTCAGCACTGCAAATTTCGAATTCTTGGAACCTCCCACTTACGGCTGATGCCACCTTAGCTGTCTTGTCCTCCGACGAGCCTGTCTCCAGCCCTGGGATGCTGACTGCAGCGACTTCCTCAGCCTGTTTCCGCAGCTCGGAGATCTGTTTGGCGATGTCCTCCTGCAGCTTGCTGTTCTCCACCAGCAGTGGGTCCTTGTGGCCGTCTTTCTGTCTGCGTTTCTTACGCAGAAGCTCGCCCTAACAAGATATACACATTACAGCTCAAACATGTTCAGGCGTGTTGGGGCTTAATCAACAAAAGCAGCTCACATAGTATCAATAGTACAATGGTCTGGATGCTATGCTAACATTTACCAATTAGCGCTCAACATCCACATGGAAACTCTTGATTTCTTCACACAAAATCATTGCAAAAACCTTACAAGAACCGGATACAGACTTTTGGTGAGCAAGTTAGAAGGAACGAGAGCCATAGTGAAACTGTTTCTCCATATCCTTTTCACCTGTTGCTTGCGCAGCCTCTCCAGCTCCTCTTCAAGGAACTCAATCCTCTTCTTGATCCTGTCTTTCCTCTCCTTCAGCTGGGTCTGGCGGGCCTTCTCCTGACGCTGCTTCTCAAGGAAACTCTCCTGCTTCTCGGCAAGCTCCTTGTCTTTCCGTGCCTGCTCCTGTTTGATAGAAAATAGCTCAGTACTATCAAATGGTATTCCCTCGGATTCTAACAACAGATTATAACTAATATAAGTGAAATATATGACTAATTCCATGTTTGTGTAAAAGGGATGACTCAGAAAATCATTTCCATCTTTGCTATCAGTCTTGGTTTCATAACTATCCTGGAAAAACAAAAACTAAGCTTGTTGAAATACATGTAATACTAATAGCAATGAACAGCTTTTCTGCATCAGGTTCTTTGAGTGAAGTTAGACACCGACTGCCAGCTTAATAGGCATCTTTCCTGATTAAGAAAAAAACTCATAAAACTGGTACACATACCTGTTTCAGAGCTTCCTCTTCCTTTTGCCGTTGTTGCGCAGAGCGTGGAGGAATGACGATCCTGTTGGACTTTGGTTTTTGCTCGCTCTCCTCTGTCTTAACCTCAGTTTTCTGATCATCTTTCTTGTCTTGGATAGGGATGGATCTCAGATTGGCCCGAGGGTCTGGCTGAGTCACTGGAGGTGGTGGGCCTGCTAGGTGGGGTGGGCCCCCTTGTATTAGTGGCCCTCTAGGAGGCATTGGGCCACCGTGGGGTGGAGGGCCTCCTTGTTGCAGGGGCCAGGGTTGGGGCGGGGGAGGCCCACGTGGGTCATACCCTCCGTACGGACCATACCCTTGTTGTGGAGGAGGATAGTTAGGGTATCCCGACGTAGGTGCTCCATGGTACGGGGGCTGGTTGGGTGGATGTCCATAGGGAGGCTGATTGGGTGGATGTCCATAAGGAGGAGCATTGCTAACTGGGGGAGGGAAGGGTGGGTGAGAAGTCGTTGATGACGTATAGTGGCTGCTGCTGGGTGCAGATGCAAGGGCCAACAGGTCATCAACAGCTGACGACCTCTTGTACATCCCGGACCCGACGTACCGGCTGTCTCTCCTGTCGTAGTCCTTCTCCGTGGAGTACCTCCTGTCCCGGTCCGGGCTGTAGGACCTGTCTCTCCGGTCCCTCCCCCTGCTGGTCTCGCGGCGGTCCCGGTCCCTCCCGTAGCTTGACTCCCGCCTGTCCCTGCCGTGGCTGGACTCCCTCCTGTAGCGGCTGGGCGACAGGCTGCCGCTGCGGCTCCTGCTCCGCCTTCTGTACTGGGACTGCTGCTCCCTGTCGTCCTCAGGCCGGCTGGCCCCAACCTGCTGGCCTCCTCTCTGCGACTTCTCAAAGTCAAACCCAATGGACTGGAGGATGTTTCTCAGCTTGTCGTTGCTGAGATCTGCAGCGCTGGCAACACTTGGAGGAGGAATGTCCATTGGTTGTTGTTGTGGCGCCTGCATGGAGGCAACAGTCTGGATGGGAGGTGCGGTGGACGTGGGAGTTGGGACGTACGGTTCTGGCTCAGGCTCCTTCTTCTTCTCTTCATCCCCATACAGAAACAGCTCCTCATCCTCTATTGTGTCGATGAGTGGAAGTTTCTCCTCCCTTTTTTCAGACCCAAATAAGTTGCCTGAGTTGAGGCCACCCAGCCTGGAGAAGAAGTCCCCTCCTGAACTTGGGGAATCGAACAAACCTGGGATGCCTCCACCCTCACTTTTGGGTGGTTGTCCATACCCATCTCCTGGGCCAAAGCTGTCTGAACTGGACTGAGGTGGAGGTTCAGAACGGTTTTTCAATATCGACTTTTTAGGCTTTGCCTGTGGAGGTGGGGGCTGTGCTTGTCCGGTCTGTTCGTAGGCATTCATGCCAGGGATACCCAGCTTTGCTGAGGAAGCACCAAAAGCAGGCATGTCGGAGCTTTGTGAGGCAGGTGGTCGCTGGTATGGTGCTGGCTCTGACCTGGGCATCGGTTGTTGTCTTTGGTCGTAAGTGCTAGCTGGCAGCTGTTCCATCTGAGCTGGTGGAGGTTGGTTGGGGTTGGGAGCAGTGTCTGCTTGGAACCCTGGAATCAACTCTTGCAGTGCACGTAGAGCACTCCCTTCGCCCATGCGGATTGCTTCAGCCATCTCTTCCCTTTTCTGTTTGCCAACAATGATGCCATACTTCTGTAGTTCTTCCTCTGCCCTTCTGGCTGCCTCCCGAGCCTTGTCCAACTCTGGGTAGTGGGATTCTTCTTGCCTGCCCCACTGAGTTGGAGCTGGTAGAAACATTTTTTGTTGCTCCTCCTTTCTCTCCAAGGAATGCCCTCGCCCGCTCTCCCTGTTGTCATCCTGGTATTTTTCTTCCTTGTATCTGTCTCTCTCATACTTGTCCTTCTCATAGTACTTGTCTCTCTGTGATGGCTTGTCCCCCCTTTTCTCGTCCCTGTAGTCCCTCTTCCCCCGAGAGGAGCTACCGCCCTCTTTCCTGTGTGAATAGCGATCGTCGCGGTCTTGGTATGACTCGCGCCTGGGTGAACGAGAGTCAGACCGCGATCTGGATCGCCCGTCCCCTGGTCGGTCGTAGAACGCATCCTGCCTGCTGTAGATCTCGTCGTCTTCTCGTCTGTAGTAGCCTCCTTTCTCGTACCGATCCTGCTCCCTGCTGCTGGGCCTGACAAAAACCAAACTAATGTCAAGAATAATACTTTCTGGAGATGTTACTTTTTACTGATGTAGGTAAATTGTGCAAAAGATCTATGTATAAACTGTCCTTGACAAAGCTTGGTACTTGTATCATACTTTGCAAAAAGGCTTGCAAATCATAAGTGACAAGATGGAGATGGAGTGTAAAAAATTAAGTGGACAATTTTAAGAAAGTTACACACATCAATGTACAATGCTAGAAGTACAACATGTATCTTCCCACCGATGTCAGAGTTAGTATTGCATCACAGGATCATATGCACAAAGGCACACCACACAGTCCTTACAGAATACAAAACAGAACTGTTATGCAGTGAACAGCAGGTTCATTACAGAAGGCGTCCCATCACCATTACCTGTCATATTGATCTTCATACCGAGGATCACTATGATACGGACGAGGGGAAAAATCGTGCGGAGGCGTGCGATCCATGTCGGGGGGATTGTGGTCAGGCGTGAGGTCGTCCGGCGGAGGGCCCAGCCGAGCCTCCAGGGGCTTCTTGGCTGCCTGTTCCCTCCAGTAGCGGTCATTGCCGACAGTGATGCGCAGGCCCTCCTCAAGAGGGGACCTGGACCTGCGAGTGCTGCCGCCAGTGAACATATCATAGTCTCCACTATCCTGCAGGAGTAAAGTGATCCAGAGTGGATGTTAGGAGAACTGTTGTATCAAGCTGGCAAAGTACTCTGTATCATTTATGTTTTGAGTATTTGTTGCTCTGTAGAGTATCATGGCAATGCTATTTCTATCAATGCTTTTTCTATAATATTCTTGTATAATGGAATTTGATCTTTGAAAACTTTATTGCTGTAATCAATGTTTTGAAGACTTTCAGTTAACTACGACAGTGAGTGCTTGGTGGAATAAGGCACAAAATCTAAAAACAATAGCGTCACACTTTAACTTCTTCTTGACCTGCTTATTATCATATCTTAGTTATCACGTGTAGCCTAACACAAGTTCTTTTCTGCCAACAGATTTGTCTCTTGCAAGCTGGGGTCCTGGGATGAAGGGTCCCTGTGCAGCCCTCAGCCATGCATGCTAAGCCACACTACTTCTAGCCAGCTAGCTTGGATGGCCGAGCACTCCACAGGAACATGCTGACACAGCAACTTCTGTTCCAACCATGGAGTCGATAGTCTCTAAAGGTCTTAACTATATACATACCGGTAATGTGATGAGCAAAAATGCGAGATAGAGCCAGCGTCAAATTAACAATACAGTAAAAAGTAGAGTAATGGCAAACATGCTACAAACGTACATCATCAACCTGTTTTAACTTAAGTCTTGTGTATCTTCTGCTGAAATGTTTGTATATACGGTATATACCAATGTAAATATATGTATATGTAAATATGAAACTACAAAAATGTATTTGTAGCTATGGGTGAAGGTTAGAAGTCAGATCCTTACTTCTTAAAGTTCAAGAGGATTTTACTACCTTGATACCTGTACATTGTGTGAATATGCGTAACTATAAGCTAGCCTGAAACTTTGTGAAAGCCAACTTTCTTTTATCAATTCAAACAAGATCATTGAAGTTGCAAACTGTAAGGATAAGGAATAGCCTACCCTCTTCTCTGGACCAAGCCTATCCATCACAGACTTTCCACCTTCTCCTGTACTTGGCCGCTCCTCGTGTTTTCTTGTTCTGGAGTCTCTGTTGCTGCCATCCCTCCCCTTCTCCCTCCCCTTCTCCTCCCCTTGTAATCATCATATTCCCTCCCCTTTGAGTCCCTCCTGTCCCCATGGGAGTCACCCTTGGACCTATCTTTCTCCCTACCGCGTGAGGAGGAGGGATCTCTTGACTCTTTATAGTCGTCTCTACCAGACTCTTTCCTCTTTTGTGATGATTTGGCAGCCTCTTTACTACTGTGAGATTCTTTATGCGGCTTTCCCTCGCGTTGGGAACCGCCTTTCTCTTCTTTAGCGCGGCTGGCGCTCGAGTGAGAGCTACCCCGCGACCCTCGCTCCTCCCTGTCTGGCTTGTCGCCCTTCCCGTGCGAGGAGCGATCGCGGTCTCTTTCCTTGGCGTCTCGTGGGGCTTTGTCATGCTTGTCGCCCCGGTCGCTGCTACCGCGGCGTTCTTTGCCCCTGTCGCGGCCGTCCCGACTGCTGCCTTTGTCGCGGCTTTGCAGCTCGATCCAGTCGGGACTGTCCTCCCGATCGTCGTCCCGACTCGGCAGGGGCTTGACTTTGATTTCCAGTTCTTCGTCGCGCGACCGCTTCTGAGGAGGGGGTTTGGTTGGGAGCGCCGTGGGCGCCAGCTTGGGGAAGAACCCCCCACGGCCTCTCCCGCGCCCTCTACCTCTACCCGCACCTCTACCCCGACCGCCTCCGCGCGGAGCTCCGCGCCAACTCATTTTCAAGGTTATATGTCAAAAGTTTAGCATAAAATTTCAGGGCCAAATATCAACAAAGTAGACAAATCTGACCGGAAAGTTTTCGTTCATCAAACCTGTCCGTCCAAAATGGCTACCCCTTCTTCTCCACATGAATGGACTAGTCGAAAGAGACGCGAGCTAAGGGGGTAACTAATTTACATCATGTACATAAAAACAAGATAAAGCTAAATTATAGCCCTATTACTTATGAATTAAGTTGAAAACAGTATAAAATAGTCCATAAGTAGAATTTTTCCTTTTCAATACGGAATTTGATACTGATTTTATTTCTTTTGCAATTTCCATTAATTAACTTTTTACCTATTTAGTATAATGCGATCTCCCCTAGTGGGAGCCGGGGCAGCGCACGCGCAGCTCGTGCTAGACACGTTTTGGGGTCCCTCTTGTCAACAGTACTGGCAACAAGGATGTTATAACTCTTCAGTTCTGATCAATGAATGAAATGTGCCTTTCATCTCAAGGAGACATCAAGGACGCCCTTCATCGGACGCGCAGTCACCCGTGACGAGAGCAGCAGTTGATTGAAGCTCCTTGATTGTGAAGGGCGCGATCATGACAGGTGTAACGTTAGGACAGTTCTGTGGAACACCGGCGAATGACACCATCCCACTCTGGTCGGAGGGACATCTGGGACACTGTTTCCAACAGGTGTGTGATGTCTTACTCAAGGTCCTACTCTGTTAAATACCTTCCTTGAATGCATCCGACAAAAGTTTTTATCATCTCAAATCAATCAATAATCCAAGGGCATCAGGAACTGATTAAAGTCAAAGTCATCTTCAAGTTACCCACCACGTGATACAGTTCTTGAACTAGAAAGGCCAATATTTGCTTTGGAGCAAATACAGCGATGGGTTCACCACATTTTACGACATGGCAGGGAAAGAATGGGAAACACAAGGGAAAACAATGATTTACATTGATATAACTATAATATGAAGTAAAATACAACTAAAACAACAGTTGGATAGCTATTCCCTACTTTATTGGTTAGGATTTTTAATTGCATAATGCAAACTGTTGATTTTCAAAATAAAAAAAAAACGTCCATGCCCGGCATTCCAATGCTGGAGCAGGAAAGCTTGAAATACCTACCAAAACACTTGAATACAGACATACTGTCAGTATGGAAATGCTTCTGTGCAGGTGTTAATC